AGAAGGTGATGCATGGATTATGTCATTTACAGAAGCTGAAGATCGTCTTTTACAAAATCGTACTAGATGTAAATGTCTTTCAATATTAAAAACATTACGTGATCGTAATTTTGATTCAATACCAATAACAAATTATGTATTAAAATCTTTAGTTTTATATGAATGTGAAAAACATCCAAATGAACATGAATGGTCCGATGAACAAACATTAGGTGATCGTCTTAATGGAATATTATTACAATTAATATCATGTTTACAATGTCGAAAATGTCCACATTATTTTTTACCTAATGTAGATTTATTTAAAGGTAAATCTATTCAAACATTGGATTATGCTGCTAAACAATGTTGGCAATTAACTCGTGAAATGCTTATTAATAGTCATTGTCTTGATGGATTATAAAAATCAAAAAAAATTCTGTTTTCTTTTTTTGTCTTTTTCTTCTTGTTAACAGCCTTAATAATAATTCATGAAAATAAACAATTTTTTAGTAAATAAAATATAAAAAAAATAAAATTCTTTTTTTTCTGGTATATTTATATATGATTATATTTCAATTGCAGGGCTTGTTTTGTTTTTTTTTACCTATTGAATATCGTTATATTAACTGATCCTTCTTTCCTCTCTCACATTAAATATAATGTTATACACATGATCAAGAGAGAAAGAAGAGTATTGATCTTGACAATATGTCATATTGAATTAAGATACCATTCATCAAATCATACATTACAAGAACATTTCTTTTTCCCATTAGCAGTAGTGCGTGTGATGTAGTAGAATTGATTTCATCGCTCTTAAATTATTCAATTCAGAAAATAATATTATTTGTATTTGATTTTCTGTTGAGTAAGTTTAAGATAGAATCACAATATCTTTTTTCTTCTTCGGCTATAGATATAAATATTAGAGTTTTTGTTTTGTACAAATTGATAAATCGAAAATACATGATTATTTAATTAAAGCATACTCATAGATGCGTAAGTAAATTGTCTAACTTGTTTTTGGAATAATTATACAAATGTTTAATCTAAATCTATTATATGTAAAGAAGACACAAGCAATCAAAAATTAAATAAGAAAATAAATATATTTTAATGTAAACGAGTTTATATGTATTCGTGCTTGAGATTTTAGATCAAAGTGAAAGATTTTCTTTTCTGTCAATATAGTAATTTGTCCTTGCCGGCTTACAGCCAATGACAGACATAACTATAGAAACATCATAGATTGTGACATACGTCATTTATATAAGGTCAAAGGTCGTATATCAAAAAACCTGTCGTTATAATATATGAACTACTTTTTTATTGCATATCTGAAGAATTAAGTAAAACGATGGTGAAGCACTTATGACTGATGTTCATTGATTTCGTTCCAATTGAAATTGCGCATCTAATTTGTTTCACAAGTCAAAAATTTACAGGTGAACTTTTATTTTGTGTTGTAGCCATGAATTGATTCGTTTAAAGGAACAGAAGTGAACAAGAGTCGATAAATTCGAGTTTGAAAACTGTCTGAGAATTTTGATACGACCTATGGTAGTTACTGAAGATTTAAAAATTGACTTCTATACGGTTATCATATAACCTGTGTGATACATTCATTACACTACTTTTCTTATTCACATGTTCATCTGTCATCAGTATTTCGTGGGTCTTAATATATATACATGTGAAACTGTTCTTATTAACATACTTTCATTTTAGAAACTATCGAACTTTGGAAAAGACTTCTATGAGACAAAAATCGATATGACTCTGCCAGATAACGTCATTTTAGAAAATGATGTACAATTTAGAAAGGTCAGGAGATATATTTTAATAACCTTGAAAGAGATAGTTCAGATCTTATGAGTGTTTCAATAATGAATATCGTAGTTAGCTCATACTGGCATTTGTTTTTTGAGTCTAATAAATTCTTGTGTAATATCAACCGACTATCGTTTAGTTTTGTTCCATGTATCATTGTTCAGTTAAAGCTTTATTTATATTTCTTTTGCTAATTTAACAAAAAAACTTACATGGTTTCATTTCTAGACTTTTTATAATCTTATAATAGGAAGAACATCAACAGAATGATGCTGAAGTCTGCCTATTTTCTATTCACCAGTTTCTGAAAATCTATCTTTCATTAAAGTGCATGTATACACATTTTTCGGCTCACAAAAGAAACTCGTTGGTTGTTCCCTAAAACATTGCAAAGCAATGATTTACATTGATATTTTACGACTGTTTGAATAGATTGAGTTTCAATGCTAAAATTTTAAGTTAGCAAAATATTTTAACAGGTTTCTCTTTCGATAATGAGTCTGAACCGTCTAAATCATTGACAAAAGAAAAACTTTTCTACTATTATTCAATGAAGTATTATTTAATATTTTATGAACATATTATTCAAGTAGTAAAATTCAATTTTGTTAACACTTATACTAAAAACAGTTTACAATTGCAAAAGTTAAATGTCATATCTTCACAATCATTCAAACGATCTTATTTCCGATAATCAGAATCATTTTTGATGCTTTGATTTACTTACTACTATGAATGTACCCCAACCCTTCTGGCTCGAGTTCGTTCAATCCAAAAATGTTGGATTTGAACCAGCCCCGCACTTTTAATTTCAATGAAATTTTTTTGGTCGAAGTTTAATGGTTGCTTTGAACTAAGCTGCCAACACATCCGACACGTTGCTCAGACAATCTTGACAAGTCTTGTAATATCAAGTCATAATTGACTGTTAGCATTAGAATATGACTTATTGAATCAATCTCTAGTTGTTGCTATTATGTTGTTAGTCAATGTATATGAGGACCTCATGTATTGGAGCGAACGAATTTTGATTTAGGTTGGTCTCTTATTCAAAGCTACAATTAGTGATAGTTATATGAAAAGAAAATATATCATGCTAACGAAACTGTCCTAGGACAGTATCATAACACTGCAAAGTAGCCGAAAAGTCGAAATATTTTTCTTTATCTACTTACCACAAAAATCCCATAAAGTTCAATTATGAAATAATATTGGATCTTTATCAATCACAAAAAAGAAAGAAAATGTATTCTTGAAGAAAAAAAAAATGAACGAAGAAGCAACATAAAATTCAAACAGAGAAACAAAATGCAGCTAGATACATATATATATATATATATATATTATATATATTGAAGTTTTAATTAACCGATGGATACAGTCACATTAATAGCTAAATTACCATTTTCACTAAATAGTAATGCCGTTGCTCCATCAAATACAAGACAATCACTAAGAAGTATAGCTTGTTGAATACCTTCATGAATAGATTTTGGTGTACTTTCCCATGTTAATCGTCGTTTACTACCATTTAATTCTAAACGATAAACAAATTTTTCTGCTTGTTGTCGACTACCAATTAATTGAACAATAGCAAAAAATTGTTGTTCTTGTTTTTCTAAAACAAGCATAAAATGATGTCCAAAACATGATTGCATCATAACCTAGATAAAGAAATTTTTTAATACAAAAAAAAAAAATTTTTTTCAATTTTATTTTATCATACCCAATCAACTGCTCCTGGTAAAGTAATATCCGTAGCTAAAAATACAATATCTTCACCTTGTAATGTTGTTATTGATTTATGTGCAAGCCATAGATGTTGCATTACATTTTCAAGACTACCTTGCCATTTACATGATGCACCCGGACATGGACACATGTACTTAATAAAAAAAAAAAAAAACACACCAAAAAATCAATTATAAAAAAAGAACAAATTTAATAATTAATTATTTACAGGACGAAAATCACAACAATCTTCATGTTCCAATTTATGTTTATGCATCAGATTTAATAAACAACCATTTGTTTGATATTTACAAGGAAATACTATTGTATCAGCTACTTTTTCCATACCCAAATTACGAATGTTTCCTAAACAAATGTATATATATGTTGAAGTTATAAAGTAGTTAGCTAAAGAAGATAATTTATAGAGTCTATTTGATATAAAAATATTCAATTCATAGAATTCGATTGTAAAATAAGTAATTTTCTTTGTTTTTCTTTTGAAATTAAGGATTCAATGTCCATTCGATATACATTGCTATAAATCATAAACTAACTATGATCAGATTATTAGTTTATTCTACTTAATAAATTGATTATAGATATCTTAATAAAATTTAACTATACAAATTTAGCAAAAAAAAAAATTATTAATAAATGTTGAAAGATCATACAATCATTATTATATTTTTAAGATAATATGCACAAATCAATATATTTTGAACTAATTCATGTTCTATTCAATACAATAATACATTTTTCTGTTGAAAGTTTTTCCAGGCTTCCTCTTCAAAAAAAAAAAGTCCGCTTCCGTCCGATTAATCGCAGTTAAGATAAATATATGGTAGCCTAGATTAAGGTCGGATCTTTCATCAACAATATAAATATTTTATTTGCCACGTATCTTTTTCGTTTTTTCTCTCTTTATACATTTTTGAACGAGCATCCCTAAATTCTCGAAGTAGCTTCATTGTGATAAATCACAAGCAAAAAAAAAATACAACAAAATAATTCCGTAATAATTTAAAAGCAAAAAAAGACATTTGCACGGAATATTTGATTTAGTTTTCTTTGAGTACTAACTATTATCTTACCTAACGGTCCACGACACGTTGGACATGATGAAAGTTTTTGTCGGCATTGTGAACAAACAATATGTCCTGATTGACATTGAAGAATAGGTGGTAAAGCATAATCAAAACAAACTGGACATTCAAATAAATTAACTAATTCTTGATGTTGATTGGAATTATTTGATATCGTTGTTATTGAATTATTATTACTATTTCCTGTTGCTATATTACATGATGCTGCTGTAGCTGAGGATAAACTTCCAGCAGGCATTAAATTTGTATTAGAATTATTTGTTGTTGTTGTTGTCATTGGTTGACAATTAGATGATGTTGATAAATTTATTGAACAAGTTGTTGTACTAGGATGTGATGAATTTGTATTTGGAGCAACAGCTGCACCAAGACGATCATGAACAGTAAATGTTGTTGAATTTCCGTTACCGTTACTGTTGCTTTTCATCATCATTTGCATATATTTTACAGTACAAAAAAGCAAGAGAAGTAACAAAAAAGAACTGTACACAGAAAAAATGGCGTTAAGGTGAGAAAAAAAGGCTTTGTTTTTGTTTTTTGTATTACAATTAACAGGATCCTTTCACTGTTTTAGGAATTTATGTATATATATATATATAATAAAACAAACGGATACAGAAAAAAGAAAAAAAACCTATCGATAAATCACAAAATCCAATCGATATCGAAGCCTTTCGATTATCGTTGATATCAAGATCGAATATATATTATTATATCTCGTCATAATCAAAACTATTAGAATTTTAACATAATAGAACGTTTTTTCTTATGTCATACCGATTTGTTTTGAATGAATTCTTTAACACAAGGACAGAATAAATAAACAAACAAAACATCATGAGTAATTTGACCGTTTTAGCCAATCAAATAATTTGTTGTTTTTATACACTGTAAAAATTGTCATGCTTCTTACAAGACGATTCAGACGTCTAACATCTAGTTTAGACACATATTAGACATGTATGTGCTATGGACATTAACACATCTTGACGCAAAAGAAAACTGCGTTAGCGCTCTCTCGTACAACTGCAGATGAGCGACATCCTCACCCGCACATTGATTTTTGCAGTCAATGCATCAACCAGTATAAGATGTCGTTCATTTGCAGTCGTACTTCAGTGTCTAGAATTGGTTATTTGTTGACGCTTGAAGTGTCTAAAATGAACATATATCAACTAATTAGAAATAGTTCGAAGTGTCTTCTATAGACGGACGACGAATTGCCTTATTTATACACTTGCTGTGTCTTCATTTTTTAGAATGTCGAATAATATTCTGGTCTGAAGAATGACAATATCAAGATCATTGTTGTTAAAATTGATTACAATGTAAGAGTGTTAATAGTTTAATGTAAAGAAATACATGAGAATCAATGTCTTTGCTATCAATATCTATATTCTTCTTGATATTTGTTCATTGAAAGCAGAAAACAAAACTCGTTGAATTTTGTTTTTTTTTGTCAATTGATGGATGATAAATAATTCAAATTGAATTTCAATGTCTGTTTTTCTTGTTTTGTTTTTCTAGTGAAAAATTAGGATAATGATCAGATTATTGCTTAATCGTATAGTTGATCATATGTTTTTGTTTCAAGCTCAAAACTTGTTTGTAGTTTGAGTCGAAATTTGATTCCAAATATATGTATTGCTTTTTATAGATCTAGATTTTATTTTTATTATTTCTATCAACAAAAAAGAATCGATGTCGATAATAAAATCGACAGGTATTTATAATTGTTCCAAATTTTGTTATGCTTTGAATAATACTGCTGCATCGCTTTCTGTTCTTCTAGATACGTTGAATAACTTGCAAGATCTTAGTGGTTTTGTTAATCGTTTCCCTGTCTCAAATGAAACAAAAAATCAGATGTACAATGCATTAGCACAGATGGTTCGTGATTCATGAGAGTGTGAGTGTGAAAGAAGAGAAGGCTTATAATCACCCACACATCCACCATCCACATCCATTCGAGACTAGTCGCTTCTCTAAAACAATCACTGAAGGAACTCTTCAGGATCTTGCAATCGATCGGATAAATATCTGCGGCCTAAATTCTGCCAATTACGATGGAACTAGAACTGACAAAAATTTAGGAACCATTTCCGACTGAAGTGTGAGAACAATTGTGTTGGACGTTTACAATGCCTAAATAGAACATGTAACGAAAAACATCGTGCAAAGAATTCAGATTTACTCCATTAGAAGTAGATTTTAATGAAATAAAATGTTTTTCTGCTGTTATGTGTCCTTGTCTGTGGGCATTGACGTGTCTAAATCTATTCGGGTATATTGATATTAACTGTATAATCAGATGCCTAGTTTGAGCAAGAGCGTCACTTAAGAGTTGCATTGTGACTCTAGGTCTGATCAAATATAATTTATTTTAATCAAGAAGTCCAAATAAACTCGTATTTCGGTAGCCGACATTAGCAAATGACATTATCGGTTGATCTGTTAGTGACTATACGGGCCTTTATTAGAGTTTTTAATGTGCATGATGCGTTTTCATGCTAGCATCGCGGATGTGGTTTTTCGGTGAGTCTCTCAGTAAATTGAATATAATCTCCTTTCTCGAAGTATGTGGATAGTGCTGCCTTTAAGTATATATTTCATTTAGATATCCGTTGGGTATTATTTTGTGGGTATCGGTTTGATTGAATGAATTTATGAGAAAAAGTGTTACATGGACACACATAGTATTGCGCACAACGACACTGTTGTTGAATATAAATATTCAAACACATAGGCTAACTGATGTAAACATTGGATGCTAGTTTTGTCGAGTGCTGTAGAACAGTATATAGTACCGAAACAGTCAAATATTTAGTCAAGGATCAAGTGAGTCACATAGATGACCGTTACTTGTTATATATTGTTTTGCCTAGTACTTTATTATTTCATTTTACTTATACAATATTGTATACATATTTTAATTATTTCCATATTCACAAACAAAAATGGTTTCATCTCAGATGTACATCATTTGTACGCACTGCATATTCACGCATGAAGACTTCATTGCCGCTTTANATGGTAAACGTAAACGAGATGGTAATTGAGGAATAAAACGTTCTTCACGATTTAAACTTGGAAATAGAGCAGCAGTTAATGGTAAACAATTCTATAAAAGAATTGAATTATTTTAAATTTATTTTTATTTATTTATTTATTCTTACTTTGATACGTCCTAATTCAAATTGTAATACTTCTTTAACTGTTGGTTCAACAAATACAGCTGGATAAAGTTTAGTACTTGGTTCAACCTGAATAATAATCAAATATTACATTGTACATTAACGAAAATCGAAAAGAGTTTAAAAAAGAAAACAGTTTCATTATGATCTGTAGAACATTTGAATTTATCTTTAGATTATTCAATATTTTCAAATTGTGTTTTAATTAAAGCTAAAGGAAAAATACATAAATAGAACTTATCTTTTGTTTACAAAATCTAAAAACTGAAAGTTTATTACGACTGATCTGCAAAGAAAATGAACAAATGATCGAACGAAGGTTTCCAGGTTGCTATTTGCCATTATATTGGTCATAATAAGCTCTCAATACCCCAAATAATATTCCTATCTCTATTTCATTTCTGTCGAAATAAAATATTTTTTTAAAGCATTTCTTTTATCATAACATAGTTGCATCTCTTCAAGGTCATTTGGAAAATTGACTTTCGTCTTCCGATATGAAACATTAGCACAGAGAACAATGTTAATGAGATCAATTTTTTTCAAAGATTCCCAAGTTACTTGATCGCTTTTATGGTAATATTTGAACATTGTTTCTTATAGAAAAGGATTTGCATCAGTTCCTAAGAATGTTCAGAAAAAGTTTACCATAGAAATATTTTGTAGCCTGAAGTCTTCTATCCAAAGAAACAATTTAATTTAAAAAAACATACTATTTCAACTTAAAGTATTGGTAAATGAGAACACAGATCTGTAGAACTGAGTTTTTCAGAAACTAGAGATATATTATTTTTATTGTATAAAATTACATGGTTAATCAATCAAACTGCGTACATATCTCGGCAGAAATAAACTAGAGATACGAACTCTTTTCAGGATATAAAAAGTTCATTAGGGCTCATAAGTGCCGAAGTCATGAGGCTTGAGTAGGCCGAAGCATTTGTTTCTCGTTCTATGGGATTAATAGATTTAGGCAGTGCATTGAAATTCTCCTACAAAAATTAAAATTTTATTGTAAGCAGTCGTAGAAAACATGCTTGAAGAAACAATATTTTGTATTACTAAATATATAGACAAACTAAAAGCTACCGAAAACTTAGATGTCTAAAAATTAATTTTCAGTAAAATGAGCAAATCTACAGTATAATTTCTTTTTCATTAAAGTTGATCGAAAATTCTTCTTTTGAGAATTGAAATTGAATAACAACAAATTCTCGTGTGTTTCTTTAAATGCACATCGGTAACTTTTTTATGAATCATACCAGTTTTATACAATGCAAACTACGAGTTAGAAATAAGGAATAATAATTGTCTTCCATCTGAGCGGCATAAAAAAAGATTCCGCTTCCTTCTCCTTCCTATTTTTAACTTTCTGATAGGGACTTGGCAGAAATTCATGGACCTGAACGCTGGTATCATTGACCTGTATTATAAAGACTATTGAGCTGTGCACATAATTAATAACCAAGGTCAATGATTCCAGCTCCTGAATCTATGAGTTTCCGATGTGAACTTACTAGAAAACTCGAGAAAATGGTAGGAACTTAGATGCAAGAATTCAATGGATAGATTTGTGTAGTGATGATCAGAAACGACTCGTATATCTTAGCCTAGAAAGAAAAAGTTATAACTATTTTGTAAATTACGAGCGTGTATTATCAATAGAAATAGATTTCGATAGAATTAAAATTAAAAAAAAAAAAAAATTCTCAATTAAATTTTTCATAATAATCTCTTAAACAATTGTAATATAGTTTCTGTAACAATTAATTCTATATGTATTTGATAAAAAATTTAAAATAATAATATACTTGAAATTTTTGTGTTGATTCTTTTCCATTAACATAAAATGTTAATTGTCCAGTTGATACATCACATAAACATCCAATTAATAAACCATTAACAACATGTCTCGTAACATTTTCTTTATCAATTATATTATCTAATAAATCAGCTGCACAAAACATATAAGCATCTTGTCGTCGAATACTTTCAACAATTGAACCATCATCTCCAGTTTGTGTTATTGTACAATGTCGAATAAGTTTAGTTAATTTATTTATTGTTGTATCATATTGTCGATTTATTGGTTTAAATCTTGATGTTACCCAACCAATAAATACTGAACGTGGATTTTGACCAGGTAAAATTCTAATTGCATAATAATAATCATGAACATGTTCATTAATTATACGTATATCATCATCTTCATAATCATTTGTTTGTTGATCATTAAATTCTGTATCATTTTCATTTGTAGATTTTCCTGTCATAGTATTATTTGATGGTTTTATTGGAGGTTTTAAAGCAGATTGTAATTGATTTTGTTGATTTATATTTGTTGTATTTGGATCTATATTTAATTTAACCATACGTTTTGTAGGTGGTTGTTGTTCTTTTAAGAGTGATTGAAAAAAACTATTGAATTTCTTTGTTGATGATTTTGCATTTGATTTATTTTCACTCATTATTGATAATGGACTTTTTCTTGATGTTGATTGATCAGTAAATTTGACAAGTGGATTTGCTGAATCAGATTGAGATTTATCTGTTGTTGAACTTTCTGTTTGTTCATTTGATGATGGTGTAGTTGGTTTAGATAGAAATATAAAATTATGTTTTTCAGCATGAGACTCAAGATATTCATTTAAGACTATTTGACGTCGTTCAAGAGTTACTTGTCTTTTATTTTGAAAAGAAAAAAAAAACAAATTGAAAATTTAATAAAATAAGAAAAATGAAAATTACCTTGGTACAAATTTATCATGACATGATATAGGAAGTGATAAACGTAGAAATTCAAATTCAACTTTTTCCAATGTACCAAATAATCGAGATTGTAATTTTATTAATGGTGGATCATCGCGACTATGTTTAAAAGATGAAATAAAGTCATTAATTTAGAAACCAAAAAAAAAAAAAAAATTTGAACGTAAGTCTTCATGATGCTGAATCTCAACACCTGTAGATTCAATAAGTTTAGATATTTATGTGTATATATATACTTTTTTAACAATGTAGGTTAAACACATGATCTTGCCTAGATTATTCAAGTACAAATAGAATTATAATAGATGATATTTAATTTTCTTTAGAACTTCATAACCGCGAGATAAGAAAGGACTTTGAGGATCAAGAAATTCTTCATATTGCAATATTTCAGTCATCCATGTTATTGATTTCATTGAAGTATATCAAAACCTTTTATAGAACTGTAACAATTGATGCAGAGCAGAAAATATCTGTTGCTCTTTGTATAGCATAATTTATAGATTGTTTAATTAGTCGAGTATAAACATTGAAAGTAACTATTCTTGAAATCAAACCTTATGCCTTAAAAGTTTGAGAAACAAAACTTCTACTAAATTTAAACGATAATCATTGTATTAATAATATACTGAAGATCAATATTTAATCAAATGAGTTGACTAGAAAACGTTCCCAAATTATTAAATCGATTTTATCTTGATTTAATAGACATCACCTACATTCTATGTAAAAGTATATGCACAAAAATATTCATAAATCTCAGGTATATATAGTAGATGAGATTCTAACATAAGAGACAAATCTGTTTATTGTGTTATATACCTTGCACCAATTCGAATGACTTCGAAAGATGATGAATTTGACTTGATTGGTATAAAACGAGGAATAAAATTTGAATACCAAAACGTTGCATTTTTTGACATATTTCTAAAAATTTCAAATCAATAAAAAAAACAAATCTTTTGATTTTATATGTTATGAAATGAAAAATTAAATTGATCTTTTAAAATTTTCATTGACTATTTTAAAATTTACTTTTCTCATTAAAACTTACACGCAAAATGGTTCATATCCTTCTTGTAAACCACAAGATGTAAAATATTTTAATGAATGAACATCTTGTCCAAAATTGAATCGAGCTTTTTGTCCACTAAATGATGTTATTGCTGGTACAAAACCAATTTCATCAATATCAAGTCCATCAAAAGCTGTTTCATTACCATAATTATCTAACATTAATTCACCATTTAATGAAAAACTTATTGTTTTATCATGTAAATCAATCATACAACCAACAACATCATTTTTTGTCCATTGTTTACCAAATCTATCATATGTATTATGATGAAAACGTCGTGCATTTAAACCATCAAATGAATATCCATATGAATCGGTACCAAGTGAATAAAATGCACTAAGATTTGATGCATGTCCCCATCCAATTAACATTCGACCTGATGTTAATAATTCAACTTCATAATACCATTTACCACGTGTTACAGAAAATGTTTTTTCAGCACGATATGTTCGATAATTTGACATACGTTCATTATCTTTAACATCTTTATTACGTCGATTAAGATCTTCAATATCACCTGTTGGTGTATCTATTGTATAACCATATGAAAGAAGTGTTTTAACAGTTTCACTTGCTGTATCTCGATTAATTTTTTTAATACTATCATCAATTATTGAATATGGAAGTAAATATGGACTTCGTTTATGATGAGGATTCTATAAAAACAAAATAGAAAACAAGAATAAGCTTAACATTTAACTAAAATTCAATCATGAATTAGAATACAATGTTTTTTTTGTATGAACATACAGGCTAACGAGAAAACTATCCAAAAATTGTAACCTGATGTTTCTTTTCTAGTTGTTTAAGTTCAGATCTGGTTTAGTGAAATTTTTAAAATTTTGGTTCCGCATATCTCTATTCATGATGACTCGAATATTCTAGAAGTTTCAGCCGACAAAAAAACAAAATGTTGATTTGCCGAGATATTCAATTTTTCAAGTAAACTCGATTTATATGACATATCTGTGACTATACGCTATTTTTGGAAATTCAATAAATCCACACAGAAATATTCTAAAGATTATTAGACCTGTCTATGGGTAAAATTGCACATCGAAAATTCAGTACAATAGTCATAACTTGATTTGAGAAACTCATCAGGACGAATTCTCTTAGCCTTTTCTAATCTTCCCGATAGCTTCGGGTGAGTTTTTATATGAGCTCAAACCTTAGATTACATTCTAGACAGTTTTCTCATAAGCGTACAATATCCGAGTCAGTTTCAAGAACGAACTATTATCTTATATTCTATAGGCATTGCGTATAAGATCTTTATATAAAGGGTGTCCCAGAAGTTCTGAAACGATTTTAAGAATTCACCGTTCTCGCATTCTACAAAAGCAAATTTGCTGAAACTTTGGTAGATTGTTGTACATATGTGGTACTACATAACTGCAAAGTTTCAGATCTATAGCTTGTACTATGGATGAGAGCCTAGAACAACACTGTCATGTACTATTTTCGAAATTTTCCTGCATTCTGGGTCTGTCAAAATGTCTATATCTCGGCTTAGGTAGATGATAAAATCTTGAGTTTTTTCTTAAAAGATGCGCCGTGAAAAGCTCTACAAAAATTGTAATAACAAATCCCTGTTGACTTGTGTTCATACTCAAAATGAAAAAGCTACATGATAGTACGACTTCTCACCATACTGTAAGTGATAAAAAAAAAGTTTGCAAGACCTTTTTGCTTTGCATGTATCTCAGCTTGAGAAAATGATAAAACCTTGATTTTTTTTTCAAAAGATGCGCCGTCGAAAGCTCTTCAAAAGCTGTATAAACAAATTTCTATTGAAAAACAAAAAAGTCTTCCAAACCTTTTTTATTATGGTTAGAAGTCGTACTATCATGTAGCTTTTTCATTTTGAGTATGGCAAAGACCATTAACACAAGTCAATAGGGATTTGTTATTACAATTTTTGTAGAGCTTTTCACGGCGCACCTTTTTAAAAAAAATTCAAGATTTTATCATCTATCCAGCCCGAGATATAGATGAAATTAAAAAAAATGTTGCACATCCCGAAGATGACCAGGAAAATTTAAAAAATAGTACATGTCAGTGTTTTTCTAGGCTCTCATCCATAGTACAAGCTATAGACCTGAAACTTTGCAGTTATGCTGTACCACATATGTACAACAATCTACCAAACTTTCAGCGAATTTGCTTTTGTAGAATGCGAGAACGGTGAATTCTTAAAATCGTTTCAGAACTTCTGGGACACCCTTTATAATGCAAATAATTAAATATTAATTATCCTTTGTATTTCAATCACAAAAAAAGATAAATTGCTTTCAAAAAATTTTTTTTCAATTAAGAACTCTAAAGAAGAGAACAATATAGACAAACTTTTTTTTTTTGTCGAAAGACAATGTTACGTTAGAAGAACATGGAAGAACAGAATTGTCCGAGAGAGGTTTCCGATAAGACATATTATCCATTCAGATTCAATCATGTATCGTAGACATATTGTGACTTGTCTTTTGATTGATATGGTACCATTTACATTCAAGCAGAAAAATTGTTTGTACGTTAACATTATTTTTGTAAGTGTGCATTTTAAGGAGTAGTACGATCCTATTTCATAATCTGTAGGTAGCTTCATAGGCTCACAGAAGAGATTCAACGTCCTGTTACAGGCGAAAACAGTGTATTACTCAAGAAAATCTGGTATGTTTTTAAGATCTCTTTCGTCATTGTGTACACCATACTTGCATCTATTGCCATATCAGTCCGACACGGTCTGTGCTGCGCATACTCTTCATGATCTCGAAATGTCTTCCTTGCCTCACCCACAATAGAGAACAAAGAAAAACCAAGGAGTAAGAAGCAATAAGAATGAATTTATTGAATATGTATAAAAAGAAAAAAAATCTACGATTTCTTTCGAGTTTTTTTTAATGTCTCTTTGTAGTCCAAAAGATAAGGATGATTTGAAGGAAATTTCTCTTGAGCAATATCTACTGCTTGTTGGGCATTCTTCGTTGCCATACTATATTGCTGAGTTGCTAAATATAGCTTCGCCAAATTATGATAGATTGCAGCTAAATCAGGATGACCTTTTAGTAGTTTCTTTTCACGAATTTGTAATGCTTTTTGAAAATATGTCAATGCCGTTGAATAATCTTTCATATCTCGATAAGTTTCACCAAAATTCGTATATGTTGTTGCACACTCCAGAGGATTACATTGAACGTTTTCTTGAATATTCAATGCTTTTTGATGGAATGAAACTGCCATTTCATAACTACCCATTAATCGATGAACATCGCCGATATTACTGTATACAATAGCCCGATTGGGATGCTTCTCCGGTAACGTTTCTTCAGCTATTGTGACACACATTTCAAAATATTCAAGCGCTTTTGAGTAATCTTTCATACTTCGATAAACTCGTCCTAGCAAACAGTATGTTAAACCAAAAGTTGGATTACCTGCTTGCAATACATTTTTCTTAATTCGTAAATCATTTTCAAGCGCTTGTAGAGCTGCTGCGTAATCACCCATTCTTTCGTAACACGCTGCAAATTGAGAGTAACTGACAGCCAATGAAGGATAATCCAAAGGCGACGTTGTTTCTATTATTTTATGTGCTTTCTTATAAAACTCAAGTGCTTTCGTATAGTCACCCATACTATTATGCACGTGGCCCATGTTGCTGAAGAAAGTAGCCAACTGAGGATGATTCGAAGGCAAAACTTTTTCGAAGATTTCATGTGCTTTTTCGTAAAACTCAAGCGCTTTTGAATATTCACCCATGTTCGTATACACTTGACCGATGTTGTGATAGCAAGCAGCAACATGAGGATGGTTTGAAGGCAGAGCTTTTTTGTAGATTTCATGTAGTTTTTCATAATATTCAGCTGCTTTCGAATAGTCACCCATATTCTTATACAATTGACCGATGTTGCCATAGAAAGTAGCCAAGGAGGGATGATTCGGAGGCAGAGCTTTTTTGTAGATTTCCTGCGCTTTTTCGTAAAACTCAAGTGCTTTTGAGTAGTTACCCATGCTGCTATGTACTTGACCGATATTATCATAGGAAGTAGCCAACAAAGGATGATTCGAAGGCAGTGCCTTTTCCACTATTTCCAAACTTTTTCCGAAAAAATCAAGTGCTTTCGTGTATTCACCCACGTTTGTGCACACATGGCCTATGCTGCTATAGCAAGCAGCCAAGTCTGGATGGTTCGAAGGTAGAACTTTTTCGTAGATATCATGTGCTTTTCCGTAAAATTCAAGTGCCTTTGCGTATTCACCCATGCTATTATACAGTTGACCAATGCTGCCATATGAGGCAGCCAAATCAGGATGGTTCTTTGGCAGAGCTTTTTCATAGATTTTATGTGCTTTTCTGTACAATTCCAATGCTTTTGCATAGTCACCCATCTTGCTATAAACTTGACCGATGTTACCATAGGAAATAGCCAAATCGGGATGGTTCGAAGGGAGAGCGTTTTTCATTATATCCAAATCTTTTCCGTAAAACTCGAGTGCTTTCGAGTAATCACCCACGTTGTTGTACACCGAAGCGATGTTGGTGTATGAAGTAGCCAAATCGGGATGATTTGGAGGGAGAGTTTTTAGGTTGATGGCGAGAGAGTTTTCATAGAATGAAGTTGCTTCTTTGTATTCTCCTTGGCTCTGCTTCACTAAGCCAAGTTGGTGATAAATGAACGCTCTACTACTGTCTTTGACTGTATTCTTGAGTAATTCATTGTAGAGTTCTTCAGCTTGTTGGAAGTGACCAACTGTGAGCATTAAATAACCAATTCGATGCCATCCATCGCCATCAATCTCTTCGCGTATGCGCTGATTGATAGCAGTCAGTTGTGGATCATTATCGTTTGTGAGAGTCAATTCAACTTCCCACAGACGACTATTGTTGGTCGTCTGTTTGATTTCACCGACACGAAAAACAGTGTATATTGAGAAGAGAATTTCTTCTTCTGTGTGGAAGTAACTGACGTTCGTGATAGAGGCGAAGTGATTTGATGAGACAGCAGGATCAATAGACATTTGAAAGAGGACTCCCACCATATCGCTTTCTGATAAGACACGTTCGGCGTAACTAAGGGAAACCTTTCGATTATTGCTGGTGGATAAAAAATTGTTAAATGAAATCAGGCCATCTTTGGTTTTCTTGAGTTTGTCGAAGTCAATTTTCGATAAACCTTGTCCACGGTATACAATAAAGGGCTTGCTATGAGAACATGTGGCCTGTTGATTATGTAATTCTTTAATTTGGTAATGAAGATCACGAATGAAAAAGCCCATTTTCATAATTGTTTCGACTTCCAATGTTTGAAAAGACCAGTTGAGCATCTGGTAGATGAAACAATCACGAGTGTACCACTTTATCGATGATTGTGGACTATAATCACGTTCAAACTCAGCGATTAGATTCAACGTAACGGCATTGTTGTTGCATTTTTCACGTCCAAATTGAATGAAATCTTTGATGGCTTGTTGACCATGGTCGATTTCATGGAGAATTTCCTTGAATATGTGAGCATACATAAATGAAGGTTCCAATTGATCCAAATTTGGGCTGGAAATATCTTTATTCATGTTAACGAAGCTTATCGAGATGGAATCTTGATTGTGCTGCTTCACAACCACTTGCAATGCTTTACAGATAGACGTGATTTCCGTATGGACACCTTTAATTTTGGACCAGTTTGCCGCCCATGCTTTATGTTGGGCTTTGTTGTCGCATAAGATGTAAATGCTATGAAGATGAGGAATATCATGGATATCGGGCATTATTTGTTGACCCATAGTACCAGCTATAATGAGAAATGCCCTCCTATCATTAACTTCATTGAGAAAATTGACACATTCTTCACGTTGTGTGAAAGTATGAATGTCATTAGCTATTCTTTGTAAATGTGCTAAAATGTGTGAACAGTCTTTTTTTGTTTGGTCGATATTGGCATCCAACCATATCAAAAGGAAATTTTGCATAATTCGCCGTTTGGTACGCATCTTATCCGTCGGTGCTGATGTTGTCGTCGCTGAGCCTTTTGAAGATGTAGGTACTGACTCTTTTGATTTTTGTACATCCATGTTGCTCTGATTGATAAGTTGATCGTCAATCGAAACTTATGAATAACTGTTTTGTTGCTTAGACCAACACCACTTTCTCTACTTATATTGCTATTGATTGACTATTTTCTTTACGTTTTGGACTACCTAAAATGTTTGATTTTTTTTCGTTTACAATGAAGGACGGACCCTACCTGGTTTCAGTTGAAATTAATATAGTGAAGAACGAGAGAGACACAGGGAAAGAGAGAGAGATAAAGAACAAAAGTATTTATTCATCGGAGACGTCAGAACAAACGAACAGAAAAAAACCAACAGTATCTTTTTTTTATTGCTATTCTTCCGTATGTTCACCTGCTTTTTGTCCATGCAATGACTTTATTGATCATGTATAAGGGTATATTTTTTCCCTCAATAATATTCATAAGAAGAATATCATTCATTATTCATTTTTCTTTTTTGTACTAGATTGCTGTTAACCATTTTCATTTGCGACGAGAAGAACGAAAAAAAAGCGTCGTTACTTTAGTTTTTTTTGTATTATGCTGTGAAATGGTTGATGCTCGTTACACTCCATTTCACTTTTTTCTCTTCTCTGTATGATTTCTCCCTTATATTGTTGGCCTTAGCGATTTGTGCTTCTCTTTTTCTACTCGTGTTTGAACTTTATCGAAGGTTTTTGTTTGTCGTCATATAGATACGATTCGACCATGATACTCATCGTCCAGAAAATGACTTTGTAAGAAAACGAAACGTAATTTAAGACAACTCTATAAGGACAATGAATTCAATAAAATCCGAGAGTGAAGGTAAAGGTGACAGCCTTTTGATCATATTACAGTCGATGTCCGTAAGAGCGAACAGTTATTGACAATTAATCGTGTTATCTAACTGGAAACCATTCATATCTCAGCTCTATTCTCATTTAATTAGAAAGATAAAAAATATCATCTAAATGTTTCTCATTTATTAAATTCTTTTGGTTCGTGCTAATGTTGAAAAATAGTTTTTTTACACTTCACATGCAGCGTGGTTCCGCTAAATTGAATACTATTACTACATTACTGCTCTATTCTCTTGAATTCTGTAAAGAATTTGAAGGTACAGATCTTTAAATTCTCTAGGTAATAGAAGTTACGAGTACGCATCTTAAACTGGTTTATTAAATTTCACTTTCACATCTAAATAACTGTTTTTAGTGTCAGAAGAAGATGAATAAGGTGGATAACGTGAATATACTACCACTCTCATCTAAGCTAAAGTAATTGTTCCTTGAATTTGTGTTTTTTCTTGTAACGATGGCTGTGTAGTTCGACTTATCTTAAGCAATATATGCACGACAGAATTCATTTGTTTTTTTTTCAGCAGTAAGAATAAAAAAAAACAATCATAACAGTATCGCGCGAAAAAAATTGTCGATGACGTTGACATTGATTGATGACTGGGTAATTGTATTGGATTTATCCTGAAAGTGTAAATATCAAGAGCAAGAGATATTAACAAAAAATAACATTGACCACGAAGAAAAAAAGTGTTCTACTAATACAATTCTATCATTGTTGCTAGCTTTTTTTTCGTTCATACAGATACAGTGAGTGACAACAATATGAAAGTATAAACGAATGAAGGCTGATAAAAGAAACAAGGTTACATTTTTTTAAATCTTTCTTTCTTTCTTTCTGTTTATTTGCATCTCATGAATAGCCTTTTCTCCCTATCTGTCTCTCAATTTCGTAACAAGATGGCAAGTTTAAATGCATAAGAATTCATTAAAATCTATTGAGTCCTATTCATTTGATTTCAGCAACTTTTACTTTTCACGTTTCAAGAATCAGTTCTCAAGGACTTTCATTTTTTTTTATCTGAAACGAGCATTTTTAAACTTCATATGATGTAGATTGAATTGAAAAACTATACAAAGATTGGTGACAGCGAAAAGTATTCGATGAGTTTTTTGGAGACCTTAGTTATGAAAAGTTTTACATCGAAAAATTGAAGACAATTGTAATGAAGAATAGACAGCTAAAAGAATAAGAGAAAGGTATTTCCAACAACTCGAACTTCGAATAGAGAAACTTGAAAACTCTAGTACTTATGTTTCGGTTGACGACTACATTGATGTTGATGAAATTTAATTCACTTGCATTTCTAAATGTAACCAAAGTTCTTTGTGAAATTATATAGTTTGCTTTTTTTCGAATCCGAACGAATCTTACTTATATTGCAAATTCAGTTCTATTGATGAGACCTATGTTACAACAACATCATTATTCATTTAGCAAGTCTAATAGGTGTAGTGGCGATAGTCCGAAAATACTCTTGATTTAGCAATGATCGGATATCTTTAAGAAGTGAACAACAACTGTAATAAGTTTTGAACAATGAAGAGACTTTTTTGGCATCGAATAGTTTCCTGAAAAATGATGCACAAATGCTTTGAAACAAAAGCAATGAATTAG